TCTTGTTTTTTATTCAGGGAAATTATCGTTTCATGAAACTCTTACTTACACGCAGAGCAAACTGGATGCAAAAGGATCTAGAAGAGATGACTCCTTTGCACTTGACCACCCGGCACAGGAGCCCTAAGTGTTTGGCACTCCTGCTGAAGTTTATGGCACCAGGAGAAGTGGATACACAGGATAAAAACAAGGTATTGGACTGTCAAAATCAAAGACAAATAAGAGCAGAAAGCAAATACTTCCTTTTATGGTGTGAAACCTTAAGGAAGAAGACCTAAATTACCACCTATACACATGGTAGAACAATTCCAAGTCTCTATATGTCCCAGGAAAGTATTTCACTTAAACTCTGTCATTTTATCCTCTTAGCAACCATATGTGATAGGTAGTATCATCTCCTTTTTACAGGTGGAATAACTAAAGCTCAGAAAGATTAAAATTTTCCCCAAGATGCAAGTGGCAAAACTATAATAGAATCCAAATCCAAGCCTGTCTAATTCCAAAACCCAATTAATTGACAGGTAGTTGTGATATGTGGTTAGACTCATAGTGGCCATATGTCCCAGGCAATGTACTAAGTGCCTGGTTTAATGGCCTGCGCTTTGGCATCAAACTTCTTGGGTTTCAACCCAGAAGCCACCATTCACTTGTGTGTCCTTAAGTCTTCTATGCCTCAATTTTCTCATATGTGAAAAAAGGATAATAGGGTTATTGAAGATAAAATGAGATAATATATATAAATTGCTTAGCATAATGCCCAGGGCATAACATGCCGTTAATAAATGTTAGCTATTAAATAATTATTAGTTTCATTTCAGTTGTAACATCTGCTCTGGCATTTGTAACTAGGATACATTATCTTCCCTGCTCTTGAATTTTAACATGTTATACACACTGATCATTGTTTAGAGTGATGCTCTGATCATCCTTTCAAGGCAAAAATAAATGTGATCTTTTGTGAGACAAGTGCAGTAATCCTCTTCCTTTCTGTCATGCACTTAGTCATAGCGTCTTACTCACTCCAGTGCTCCCATGTAATTAAAACCCTTATGATTAAATCCATTGGGTTTATATTCAATAATCCTTTCACATCCATGGTGTTCTTTATGTAGTTTTCAGATTTTGTTTAGTAGTCACCCAGAGTTCTGAGATCAACTGTAACTTTACAGCTATTGTATGTTAATATTATTCCTAACTCACAGCATTTGTAGTGCTAATATTTCACTGAAAAAAGTACTTTGATCAGTCCACAAAGACCCTTTAATCACTTAAGAAGCAACAGATGTCTTGGGCCTTTATCATGTCTTTCCCAATATATTCTAGGAAATTCCTTCTTGCTATCCTCCAATATCTATATTCTTCTGTTGTTGAACAGTGAGGGGAGGTTATCTAGTCAGACAGATGGAAAATGCATCTGCATAGTCCAGGCAGGCACAGAGAAGAAAGCCAGACAAAAGCCTAGATTAGTGATTCTCAAACTATTTGTGGTGAAGGATCAGTTTTTTAAAAATTTCCAATCTGTCACAGATCAATTATTTTATAACATATGTTAAAAATGAACAACAAAAAACCCCAAACAATCTAATTTAAAAATGAGCAAAGAACTCGAATAGACATTTCTCCAAAGAAGATACACAAATGGCCAAAGATCACATGAAAAGATGTTCAACATCACTAATCATTAGGGAAATGCAAACCAAAACTACAATAAGCTAACACTTCCTACACCTTAGGATGGCTATTACTATTAATACAAAAACAGAAAACGACAAGTGTTGAGAGGATGTGGAGAAATTTGAACCCATGTGCTTATAGGTGGGAATGTAAAATGGTACAGCCACTGTGGAAAACAGCATGGTAATTCCTCAAAAGTTAAACAGAGAATTACCATGTGATTCAGCAATTTAGTTCTGGCTATCTACCCAACATAATTCAAATTAATTAATAATTAAAACTCAAACAGATATTTATACATCCATGTTCAATAGCAGCATTATTTACAATGCCCAAAAGATGGAAACAACCTAAATGTCCATTGTTGGATAACTGGATAATCAAAATGTGGTATCTATATTTAATCTATATATACAACAGAATATTCAGCCTTAAAAGGGAATGAAATTCGGACACATGCTACAACATGGATAAACTGAAAAACACATTATGCTAAGTGAAATAAGTCAGACATAAAATGACAAATATTGTATGATTCCACTTATGAGGTATCTAGAGTAATCAAAAGCACTGGGACAGAAAAGTAGAATGGTGGTTGCCAGGAGCTGGAGGGAGGTGAGAATGTGAAGTTATCGTTAAATGGGTGCAGGGTTTCACTTCAGGAAGATGAAAAAGTTGTGGAGATGGTTGGTGGTGATGGTTGTACAACAGTGTAAATACCACCAAACTGTACACTTCAAACCAGTTAAAATGGCAAACTTTGTTTATATATATCTGATATATACAAACATTTGTATATATATATTTTATCACAATAAAAAAAAAGAATTACTGTACTAGAAAAATAAAGAACAAAGACATAGAAAATACAAGCACAAACTTTTTACTGTTTTACTATTAGGTTTAACAAACATAATATTACATTTCAGTAAATATAATCAGAACAAACATAACATAAGAAAAGAAAAGCATTACAGAAATGGTATGTGTTGTTTATTGAAAATGTGGTTATAGGCAATTAATTGCTATTATACTTGTGGCTTTTTTTTGATCTGCAGTTTAAAGTAATGAGTTAAATAGTGACTTCATATTAAATGCTTACAGGTATACTTTGAATGAATAACATGTATGTCAGTTTTTAAAGTTTTAAATATGACAGATGAGCTTGGTTCCTGCTCATTCAATTATCTAATTCTAGATTGGATTGGTGACAGTGCTAATCACAAAGGATAATGTATATCTAAACAGTTTCTATGTTTTTCCTTAATAATGTTTCTCCTAATAGGGAAACAAGTCTTACAGAAGTATGTTGATAAGAATGGCAGAAGAGATTTTAGAGCAACTTCAACAAGTTCAGGATGATGATTTTTAACTTTTATCTAAAATAAAGTGTGAAAGTTGTCAAAAAATCAAAATGGAGTTGCTGTGTTAAAAAAAAAAAAGCCCTGACAAATAGAGCTGGGGAAGGCTATAAAGAGAAGGTTCTCATGCTTGTTTACCTGATAACAAAACTATCACAAAAGACTGCAAAAATTGCAATCTTGTATGAAGGCCATTGCAACCTTACACAAAAAATAGTTCTGCAAGGACATCTGCCCAGCAACTGCCTGTCCAACTTCAGACTGGCATCACCCTTGTTATTGATTCTTATAGCCAAGGATAATAATTTCAAAACAATTATGTAATCCTCCTCATGTTTTCTTTAAAAATCTTTGTCTTCCTATACCTTTCTGAATATGCACATAGTTTACTATGGCACTCATATTCCCATTACAATGCCCTATTCCCGAATAAACATAATTTTCTTTTAGAGAGCCTCTCTCTGTTATTTAGATTGACAAAAGCAAGTGCTGCTGTATTTTCAAAATGTATCTTTCATCAGTAACTAAGCCTAGCAATTTATCCTGTAAAATTGTAACTAAATTTAAATTTATTTTTGATATAAGGAATAGATTCCCAATCCATAAATTTCCTATGCAAGGATCTTCTTTTTGATAGATATTAAAATTCAAAACATCCTATCAAATTCTTAAGGTGTTTGGTGATAACCAGAAATACAATATCATAATCATTACTTCATTGATAATAATTCATAAATTATTGGGCTGCTTTTCTCTTTCTCAGTCTTATTATTATACCTTATAAATTAGATGACTGTCATAATTAAGATTCTGGAATCAGACTGCCTGGGTCAAAATCTCAGTTCAGCCACTTACTTCCCTTATGTCCTTGCGCAGATTACTTATCCTCCCGTGCTCAGTTTTGTCATCAATCACATGCAAATTAAAATGAGTACTTATCTCCCAGAGATGTCATGATGACCACATAAGATTAAATATACAGTAGTCCCCCCTTATCCGTGGGGGATAAGCTCCAAGACCCCCAGTGGATGCCTAAAACTGTGAATAGTACCAAACCCAATTGCTGCCAATAGCAACACATTGCTGTTCATGTCTTCTGCACACATATTTAAGTTTCCATCTTAACTAAGCACTTATTACACACTGTGGCTGTAACTTTTGCAGCAGCAAAACTAGCATGAATTTCTTTTTCCGTCTTCACAATTTCATAGATAGAAGATTTATTCTTACCATAGATCTTAGCAAACTTCAGCATGCAATTTTCACCTTTTCACTTAAACGAAGCATTTTATAGCTGCTCTTTGGAATATCTGAATTGCCGGCATCACTACTCTTGAGCTTTGGGGCTATTATCAAGTAAGTAGTTATTTGAACTCAAGCACTGTGATTCCGGTATCTTGACAGTTGATCTGATAACCAAGTTGGCTACTAAGTAACTAGTGGGCAGGGAATGTGCTGGACAAAGGGAGGATTCATGTCCTGGGCAGGACAGAGCAGGACAGTGTACGATTTTATCACGCTACTCAGAGTGATGTGTAATTTCAAACTTATAAATTGTTTATTTCTGGAATTTTCTTTTCTTTTTTTTTTTTTTTTTTTGAGACAGAGTCTCACTCTTTTGCTGGGGCTAGAGTGAGTGCCGTGGCGTCAGCCTAGCTCACAGCAACCTCAAACTCCTGGGCTCAAGCGATCCTTCTGCCTCAGCCTCCCGAGTAGCTGGGACTACAGGCATGCGCCACCATGCCCAGCTAATTTTTTCTATATATTTTTAGTTGGCCGATTAATTTCTTTCTAATTTTAGTAGAGGCGGGGTCTCGCTCTTGCTCAGGCTGGTCTCGAACTTCTGAGCTCAAACGATCTGCCCGCCTCGGCCTCCCAGAGTGCTAGGATTACAGGCGTGAGCCACCGCCCCCGGCCTGGAATTTTCTATTTAATATTTTCTGACCGCGGTTGCAGAAAGTAAAATTGAGGATAAGGGGGGGAATACTGTATGAAACCCTTATGACAGTGCCTGTCACACAATAAAAGCTCAGGGAAAGTTTGTTGTTGTTGTTACTGTTGTTATTGTTGTTGCTGTTGTTATTTGCAGCAAACAGCTCTGCACTGGAGTGCCTACTATAACAACCCTGAGCACGTGAAGCTGCTTATCAAGCATGATTCCAACATTGGGATTCCTGATGTCGAAGGCAAGATCCCACTTCACTGGGCAGCCAACCATAAAGATCCGAGTGCCGTCCATACAGTGAGATGCATTCTGGTGAGTAGAATGGTGCTGCCAGACCTGAATGGCCTTTTAAAACAAATTTATTATGAATTATCCAATATATACAAAAGCATATATAGGACATACAAGCAAATTATGAATCAAAAGAATACAACAAACATTTATGGACCCATCCCCTAAGAAATAGAATATTTTAATGCCATAATTTAAGACCTCTTAGAAGTTTTCTATGTTCCAATTTTTAAATGTGTTCATTTCCCCTACACTGTGCTCGTCTTTGTTCCCCATCAACTACTTTCCTGAATTTATAATTTCCTTACTTTTTTTTATACTTGTCTTTATTAAACAGTGAATAGATACAAGTATCAGTAAAATGCACATACAATATAAAGAATAACGAAACAACAAATACTCATATACTCACCATCAAGTTTAATAAAAAGTGTATTACTATTACCTTTGAAGTCCCCTGAGTGAGGCACGTCCCAATTCCATTCTGTTCTCTCCTTTCTCGGAGGCAACTACTGTCCTCAATTTGTGTTTATCATTCCTCTCATTTTCATTGTAGTTTTACAATATTTATTTGTATCCCTAAACAATATGTTTAGTTTTTAATGTTTTTGAATTTTAGACACATGGAATTACATTGTATGTTGTCTTGTACAATGTGCTTTTCTTGCTCAACCTTATGCTGGTGATTTTTATCTATGTTGCTGTGTGTAGATGTATTAATTTTTACTGCTATGTAGTATTCCATTTTATGAACAAACTACATATTATTTATTCTGTTATAGACATATTTTGACTGTTTCTAGTTTTTTGCTATTTACAAACAGTGCTGCTTTGAACATTTCTGCACATATCTCGAATATGTTTGTAACTGTTGCAGGTATATAGGAATGCAATTGATATTTTTATCCATTGGTTATATATCTAACCAATTTGCTAAACTCCTTATTAACTTTGAACATTTGTGAGTAGATTCTTTGATATTTTCTAATCACTCTTTCCCAACTTCCAACTTAAATGCTATGATAGTCCAATATTTAGTCATATTTGTTTTTAATATACAAATTAGACTTTAAAAGTATTATTTTGTGTGTACAATGATTATTTATTTTTACTTGCATGTTAACTAATTTGTTTGCTCTGCATTTTTTCTTTAATCTCAAATTTTCCCTAAAGTTATCTCACCTCCTGAAATATATTAATAGTTCTTAGGAGTTCCTTTATATAGATCTTTTGGTGATAAACTCCCTCTGTTTTTAATTGTTAAGAATGTCTGCCTTTCAGCCTTGCTCTTGAAAAAGTAGTTTCTCTGTATACAGTCCTAGGTAGCTATTTTTCTCAGCTCTTTCAGGATATTATTTTGCTACTTTCTGCCTAATACTATATTGCTTTTGAGGAGTCTGTTATCGGTCTAATTGTCATTCTCTTATAGACGAGCTATGTTTTCCCTCAGTCTGTTTTTACATTTTTCTCTTTGTTTGGCATTCTACAGTTTCATTACAGTGTGTCTAGCTATGGCCTCTTTAAAAAATCTTGCTTGATATACATTCTGATTATGGTATCTCATTCTGGAAAATATATAGCTATTATCTTCAAATATTGTCTCTCTCATTCTCTCTACTCTTGCCTTTAGGGACCCCAATTATATATATTTTAGACCTTTTCTTTTTATCCACCATGTCTTTTAATTTCTCTTTTATGTTCCCACCTCCTTGTCTCTCTTTGCTACATTCTGGGTAATTACATCAGGTCTGTCTTCCAGTTTACTAAGTCTTTCTTTGGCTGAGTCCAATCTGTTGTTTACCCTTTCCATTGAGTCTTTAATCCTAGTTATTATATTTTTCACTTTCTATTTGGTTATTTTTCATATCTGCCTGGTCATCTTGGTAGCTTTCCTTCTTTGCTCACTTTTTATTTCATTTTTTATTTTCTTGCATGTTTCATACATAGTTATTTTATATTCTTTTTATATTAATGTTAATATTCGAAGTACTTGGGGGGGCAATTCTCACTCATAAAATCTTATTTCTTCACAGAGTTTGCTTTATTTTTTTTCTTGTAAACACATCATATTCTTTGGGAGACTCCAGGGCTTAAAACATCATCCAAGTAATATTCTACTTTTTTGGAGTATTTATTGTATCTTTTATACTCTTTTATGTAAAATAGGCTGACTGCACAGCCAGCTCTAAATCTGTGGTGGCCTTTCAGAGAGTTCTCTGACTGGGGCAAGAGGGCTTGACTCTGGATATGATTTAACCTGGGAAGGGACATGACCTTGGGTGAGGTAACTCTTCAGCTGAAATAATAATTCCAAAAGGCTGACATGGAGGATTGTCTGCTCGTAGCACTCCAAACAGCAGGAAAACAAATCCTTTAGTCTTGAAGTGGAGACCTTAAAAATTGCATCATAATGTCTGCTACAAAGATCCAATAGAAAAATGAATAAATGTTGCGAACTGTCAATTTACAGAGAAAAAACTAAATTGCCAATAGATGTATGATAAAAAAAATCTCAACCCCATTCATAAAAGAATTATGAAACGGCAGCAAAATGTCTTTCATACCCGTAAGGGAAAAAAAATGTAATAAGCTTGAAAATACCAAGTGATTAATTTGTGCCAGCATGTGGGGAAATAAAAAATTTTACACATTGTCATGAGTGTGTTAATTGGTACAACCATTTGGAAAGCAGCACGACAATACCTACTTGAAAATGCAGATATCCTTCAACCCAGCAATTCCAATTCTAGGTATCTAGCCTAGAGAAAATCTCACACTTGTGCTCCAAGGGACATGTAAGGAAATGTATTCATTGCAGCATTATTTTTAATAGTGAAAAAAAAGAGACTAACCTAAATGTCCCTCAGTAGGAGAACAGATAAATGAATCATGGTTTATTCATATACTTCAACAATTGAACTAGTACCAACATAGATACCCAAAGTATAGTGTTGAAAGAAAAAGTTGTCAAAGGATATACATGTAAATCGCCATAATGTAAATATTAAAAACACATATACAAAATTTATGTATTGTTTATAGGTACATGCATATGTACAAAGGTATAAAACATATAGCTTTAGCTGAATCCATAACAGAAACAAAAGCATATTAGGCAAAATGTTGATACCTTTTTAATCTAGATAGTCAGTATGTGGTAGTTATTATATTCTTTTCTATATTTTTTACAATGAAATATGAAAATAAATTTGTAAAGATATAGACTATGCACTTTTTCCTGCATTTATCACTTTACTTGTGCTGTGAGAGAACATAGAGATTTTGTTTAAAAAATTGCTCAGTTAATACTTATGCCAAATGTAATTAATGAGGATTCCATGTATATCTGAAGTTTCTGGTTCCTTAAAAATAGGATGCTGCTCCAACAGAGTCTTTACTGAACTGGCAAGACTACGAGGGTCGAACACCTCTTCACTTTGCAGTTGCTGACGGGAATGTGACAGTGGTTGATGTCTTGACCTCATACGAAAGCTGCAATATAACATCTTATGATAACTTATTTCGAACCCCACTTCACTGGGCAGCTTTACTAGGTAAGTTGTATATGAATCAAAGGATCAACAGGAGAAGGAACTGCATGACTATAGGGATATTTCTGTGATTTCTCTTTCCATGTTGGCTTCCCCCTCCTATTTAATTATTTTAATTTCTAATTGATATATTACATTATTTTATAAACTAAATTAAATTCTAGTCATATAAATTTATTCTGTTAAATATTAGTTTTAATTTCAACATCATGGTTTTTGTTTTTGTTTTGAGACAGGGTCTCGCTCTGTCACCTGGGCTGGAGTGCAGTGGCATCATCATAGCTCACTGCAACCTCAAATTCCTGGGCTCAAGTGATCCTCCTCCCTCAGCCTCTTGAGTAGCTGGGACTACACGCGTGTGCCACCATGCCTGGCTAAATTTTTCTATTTTTGTTAGAGATGGGGTCTCACTGTTGCTCAAGCTGGTCTGGAATGTCTGACCTCAAATGATCCTCCTGCCTCAGCCTCCCAGAGTGCTAGGGTAACAGGCGTGAGCCACTGCACCCAGCCTCAACATCATGTTTTAATTTTTAAGATTTGCTATAAAAGTAATGAACATTCATTGACAACATATAAATGGAACATAATCCTCTTTTCATATACAATGTCTTTATTTTGTGGGAGGAAGGCTTTAATTTTATGTTTATGCTAATACTATGATTTTTTTCTTGATATTTTCCTGACATACCTTTTACTTAACCTTTTTGGGGATCACTATTTTAGATGAGAGAGTGTATACATGTGTATATTATATGTGTATGTGTCAGATTTTGTGTGGGGGGGGAGCAATCTAAGGAGTCTTTCCATTTTAGTGATTTTTACCCATTAATAGTCATAGTTATAAGATAAATAATTTGGTCTTTTTTTTTTTTTTTTTGCTATTCTGTTCTCCATTATTAGTGTTTTCAGGTTTCTTCTTAATTTTTTTGGTTTTCTTCCTGTTTCCTTTGTTTTCTGCCTTTTGATATATGGATTAGATTTGTTGTTATTTGGTTTTGAATTGCCTAATATTTTTAGGAGTGTTTATAGGTTCTGTTAGTGGTTACTTTTAAATTTATCAAAAATATTTTAAGCCTGACTCAGAGCCAAGAGCAAAACAGTATCTATTTATTCCCACCTATTTAAGATAAAGGATTTAACACACTTGTACTCATTGCTTTTTATTTGTTCATATAATCTGATGTTTCTCCCGTTATTATAATCTTGATTTTAGTTTTAAATTATGCATTCTTTTTTGAAAATGATTTTTATATTTGCATTCAGTTTTTTAGTCAGAGTCATAATTATTATTTAGACTTCATTTCAGTGTTTGGTTTCATTTCTTTTCATTTTCCTCTGGATTCTGGGCATACTTGGCAAACTTGTCTCCACATCACTAAATTGACTTTTTGTTCCGTAAGTTCTGCTTTCTTTCTACCTTCTATGTAGATTGTATTTTAAATTGCATTTTTATTTTCTTCTATTATTCATATTTCTTTTAATCTCATCCTATTTCCTTTTTACTTCTTTCCATTACCCTTTCATTTCAGTCTATTTTCTTCTTAGGATATTCTGTTTCTGTTTCATAGAAGCCATCTCTTTTTGCACTAAGTTGAGGATGCCAAACAGTTTCCTGAAATTTTCCTCTGGATTGTTCTCTAGATCATTTTCAGAGGTATGCTCTTTGTCTTCCCTATGGTGTTCCTTTTTCCCTGTCCTGTAGCATGTCTTCATATAGTCTTCACTGAATTTTTCTCTTTATTCCTCAAACATGTGTTTGATGAGATGTGTTTAGATTACCCATATGGCATAGCTTGTCTGTGATCCTACATCTGTGTTATGGAGAACTCCATCTTAAACCGTACCTGGAAAGCAGATAGATAAGCACAACTCCCACTCAAATTACTTTTCTGCCTGGCTTTCATGCAGTTTTTCCTTGCTCTGCTAATATGGCTACTTCTTCATGGCCTTGTTGTCCAATACACTGAAGCAACACAATGTATGAAATGAAGGTTTCTTGCATATATTATTAATGGATTTGTTCATTCTTTGATTTTTTTTCTCTCTGTTTCTTTGCTTGTGGAGACCACATCCTGCAGCATGCACTGCAGAGTGGTCCTACCACCTCCTCATCATACTTGCCCACTTGCTTTCTGGGATTTGAAATCACTGCCTAGATGTTAAAATACTGGGGGAGGGAGATTACAGGGGATGGAGAGGAGGCCTCAGAGATAAAACAGATTATATTGTACTTTGTCCATCTGAATAGTAGAAGAGAACAGCCATGCAGTTCTGGTTGTTTGGGCAATGGAAACTTGAGACTAGAGACAGTGAAGGCTAAGAGGGCCTGGCTCTGAAGCACCTTCCCTCCTTTGTTACAGGCAGTTTTGTAAAGCGAAGCCAGGAAATGCAATGAGGGTATACCTAACGTAATTTTTTCTCAGTCTGACAATTATAATTAATGTCATTTCCTTCTTGATTGAAGCATTAAGTTTTTAGTGTTTTAAATTTTCACCTTTGTTCTGCCCTGTATCATTATGTTAGTGAGAAGCTAGAAGAAGCTACATTGGGGGTTGGAATTCAGAAACCATTTTGAATGGTGCATTATGCTAGTGATTTTTCTTACTCCTTTCATTTAAACAGACAATAAATTAATTAACTTACTTTGTATGTGATAACTACCTTTTTGTGTACTTTTTTCAGGCCATGCACAGATTGTCCATCTCCTTTTAGAAAGAAATAAGTCTGGAACTATCCCATCTGACAGCCAAGGAGCAACACCCTTGCACTATGCAGCTCAGAGTAACTTTGCTGTAAGTAAAACAAGACAATTCCCTTTTTTCTTAATTAATTTTTTATTTTGAAATAATCATAGATTAATATGCAGTTGTAAGAAATAATACAGTAAGATCCCATGTACCCTTCATCTAGTTTACTTGAATTGTAGCATATAGTTCGATATCATAAACAGGAAATTGACATTCATACAATCCACTGACTTTATTCAAATTTCACCAGCTTTACATACACTCATTTGTCTGTATTTGTGTAGCAGTTATCTTTTAACAATTGTTCATGCTGTTAGCTCTGACTGTAATACAAGTGGTAGTCTGAGTTTTTGTAAAGTTGTTAGTCACATAGAAAGTCTTATACAGCTTTTAAGGTTCAGTGTAACATTTTACTTTACTGTAACAGTACTTCATATTTTGTTACTTTTATAGCACTAAGGACATCTTAGTGTTGAACAATTTGTAATTGTCATGAAAGAAGTGTGACAAGGCTTTGGAACTAGAAAAACCTTGGCTAGAATCCTGTCTGTGCAATTTGCAAAGCTATGTGACCTTACACAAGTTTCTTAGCCTCTCTGAGTCTCAGTATGTAAAATGAGGATAATTATACCTTTTCTTTCAGGATTGTTACAAAGATTAGAGAAA